CTGTAGTGCTCAGATATTGTTTGTTTGATTTTTTTTTCCCTAAGCAATAGACAGCTAAGTGCATTGAGTTGTTGCAAAGGGAGGAGTCCAGGAGCAGAGGACAGACCAAACAAGGCTGAGGTGAAAGTGGGAAACTGCTCTGGATAAGAAAGAAAATCAAACAACACGGTGGGCAGGTTGTGGTGAAAATCAAACAACAGGTGGGCAAAATGGTGAATTATAACGTAAGCTTGAGTAAGTGCTTTTTTCAGATGATTTTGGTAAATAGGGCCTTACTACAAGGACAGTGTAAAGAAGAGTAGATTAGGACAGAAAACAGCCACTGGCCTTGTGGAATTGCCCTGATGTCAGGATCCAGCCGCCCTCTGGGGTTGTGCTCAGTGCTGTCTCTGTCTCTGCTGTGATTGTCTTCTCTGCTCTCCTGGCCCACCCTTGTCTCTGCAGCTCTCTCTTCTCACTACCTCTCCTTTTCCTGCTTTGCTCCCCCAGCATTGAGCCACATTCACCGCTGCTCTTCCTCATGTATCCCTATCATGCTCCACCCCTAAACCTGTGGATTCCTGTTCTCTCAACCTGAAAGTCTGTCTGTCTCTTTGTCTCTGTCTCTCTGTCTGTCTCTTACAAGTAGACTCTGACACTTGTTATCCTTATCTGCTTCTTCAGTTTTATTTTTCTCTATCGAACTTTATTGTACATGACACTATAGTGTGTATTTCTTTCGCCTTGTTTTGTTCTGTGATGTGGAGAATCTAACCCAGGGCCTCACAAGGCAAGTGTTCTACTACTGAGCTACATCACCAACCCTGCATTCTTTTCTATTGGTTTTCTCCTTTCCCTCCCTGGAATATAAACTCCTTGAAGTCAGGCTTGGTATGTTATATGTACTGCTGGAGCCTTAGAATGGTGCCCATTTCATGGTAGCCTCTAACACTGATCAGTACCTTAACATACCTAGTGATGTCCTCAGTGGAGGGGTCCATTGTGTCGTCCAGTGCTGGGGGCAACTCTTGGGTGAGATTCCAGATTAATCCCCCAGTACTCCCTTACAGACTAACCTGCTAAGTCAGGTTCCATCCCTGCTGCATCTAAGCAGTAGAGTCCAGAACAGTAAGAGTCTGTGGCCCTTGTCTTCTCCTGGGAGGCTAGTGCCTCTAAACCGTCCAAGGTTCAACTCCTGGCTCACAGAATGTTCAGATCCTATCTTGTGGACCACTTGCTTCCCTTTTTGAGCTAAGCTGATAAAGGGAACATCTACTAAGAAGTATGATTTTGACTTTCTTTTTTTCTTTTTTTGGGGGGGGGGTCTGGTCATGGGGCCTGAACTCTGGGCCTGGGCACTGTCCCTCAGCTCTTCAGCTCAAGGCTAGCGCTCTACCACTTGAGCCACAGCACCACTTCTGGCTTTTTTCTTTTTGCTTATGTGGTGCTAAGGAATCGAACCCAGGGCCTCATGCATGCAAGGGAAGTGCTCTACCACTGAGCCATCTTCCCAGCCCCGGACTTTGGCTTTCTTGCTCTTCTTTGTGCCCTCTGCTCTCTGGCCCTGCCTTATATTCCTATGTGCTTTCTATTTGTCCTCTGGTTGTTGATTATACTTTGACATTTCTTCTGATTTCCTTTCTTGCCCCTCCTGTCTCTCTTCTCTCTCAGCTACTATTTGGCTCCACAGCTCAAAGCTCTTTCTCATGCAATGACTGCTTAGCTTGAGTTCTTGCCAGCAGGAAAGCTTTCAGCATCCTGCTTGATATAATCTTTCCTCTCCTTTGTTCCTTGTAGCTGGAGAGGAGTGAGGAAGAGAACTGCACTGGAATGTGTTTTCCTCCTTCATCCTTTAATTACTATCTTGCATGAAACATTATAGCAAGTTCTGGACTACCTCCATAAATAAAATGCTCAGGTTCCAAACATAAATTTGGGAACACGAATAAGTTATTTGAGTCTTTAACATTTATTTGGTATCTATATCTATATGCATATATATATTTATTGAAGCTGTATAGAATGGTGGATAAAAGCAAAAATTCTTTTGTCTCATGACCCTTATATTTTGGTAAGACAGACTTATGTTCATTATACATGTATATAAATGGTTGATACAGTATTGTATCTATGTTGAGTTGTATAAAGGAGGATACCTAAGTACTCTGAGAATATACATTAGGGAAGTGAGGGATGGCTCTGAGTTGAAGAGGGAACTGAAGGCACAATAAGCATGAGCTTGGCCAGGCCTGAAGTGGACAGGGCGTGGAAGATACAGGTTCCTACTGCTGAGGGGCCAGAGCATCAAAGCAGTTTAGGCAGAAAGCACAAGGTGGAGTGATGGTAAATGGAAAGACAGACTGGAGCCAATCTATGGGGTTTTGTGGATCTTATGAAAGATTTTGGATAGTTTTGAAGTGCTATGTGCAAGGGGAAAGAAGTAGAAAAGTATACAACATCCTTTTAGTTTTAAATCATTGGTAGAAGTGCTGTGAAGAGTAACTGGAATAGGGTGTAGAGGAAGATGGAGGAAAAACTTGGGGAAGCATTTTAGAGACTGGAGGCAGTCTAGATACAAAGTGACATTAAAGATTAGCAAAGATGTCAGGCACCAGTGACTTAGGCCTGTAATCCTAGCTTCTCAGGAGGCTGAGATGTGAGGATCGATGTTCAAAGTCAGCCTGGACAGGAAAGTCTGTGAGACTCTTATCTCCAATTAATCACCAGAAAACCAGAAGTGGCCCTATGGCTCAAGTGGTAAAACACTTGCCTTGAGCTGAAGAGCTGAGGGACAGCACCTAGGCCCAGAGTTCAAGCCCCACAACTGAAAAAAAGAAAACCAAAGATGAGCGTAGATTTTAAATTTCCAAACCTACTTTTGCTTCCATGGATGTCTTTCCTTCCCTTTTCTTCTTTCTTTCTTTTTTTTTTCAGCAGTATTAGCGTTTTAACTTAGGACTCTAGCCACCACCCCCTTTTTGTGAGGCAAGACCTCGCCATGGAGCCCAGGTTGGCTTTGACCTCAGTGTTTTTCCTGCCTCAGCCACCTGAGTGCTGCGATTACAGACATGTGCCACCCCACCAGGCTTCTATCTTCACTTCTTAGTAAATGTATTTATTTGTCCAAACATTGTTTCTGAAGAGTCATCTTACTGTAAAAGATTCAAATGCGGCCGGGCGCTGGTGGCTCACGCCTGTAATCCTAGCTACTCAGGGGGCTGAGATCTGAGGATTGCGGTTCAAAGCCAGCCCGGGCAGGAGAGACCATGAGACTCCTATCTCCAATAAACCACCAGAAAACTGGAAGTGGCGCTGTAGCTCAAGTGGTAGAGCGCTTGCCTTGAACTGAAGAGCTGAGGGACAGCACTCAGGCCCAGAGTTCAAGCCCCATGACCGAACAAAAAAAAAAAAGATTCAAATGCAAAAAATAAGATAAATGAGAAATAAAAGATGACTTAAGAGAGTATGAATGGAATGATACGGAAAATCCAGGAGAGGATAATGATTGTAGACAAGTTAAAAACTTAGCTCTGGGCTTCTGGCAGAAGAGAACAGAATAGGTCATATGATTTTGTTGTTGTTGTTGTGTTATTGTTGTTGTTTGCCAGGCCTAGGGCTTGAACTCAGGGCCTGGGCACTGTCCCTGAGCTTTGGTGTTCAAGGTTAATGGGCTATCATATAACCCACAGCACCATTTCTGGCTTTTTTTAACTGTATTTTTTTTGTCTTTTCTTTTTTGGTACTGGGGATCGAACCCAGGACGTTGCACTTGCTAGGCAAGTGCTTTGCCATTGAGCTACATCCCAGCCTTCTGGCTTTTTCTGAGTAGTTTATTAGAGTCAGGAATCTCACAGACTTTCCTCCCTGGACTGGCTTCAAACCATGATCTTCAGCTCTTAGCCTCCTGAGTAGCTAGGACTATAGGCTTGAGCCACCAGCCCCTGTGATTATTTTTAAAAAGAAAGCAAGGCTTACAAGCTACTCCTTGGTTATAGAAGTGACATTAAACAACCAGAATAGGTCAAGATTGCTGACATTCACCACCTTATCTCTGGAGATCATAACATTAGTCGTTATCAATGGCAGTCAGTTACGAAGAGAACAACGTCTTAGTACGTACCCCAAACAGGCCTCAGATTTATGACAGTACTGCCTCAGCCTCCTTGAGTGCTGGAACTATAAGTATGTACCACTATGTCTGGCATTCATCTATTTTAGTAGTAGGTTGCTGTAGTAGTTTATGAACTGAACTACGTATATGCATTTCTTTTTAGACCCTTTGTTATAGTTTGAGGGCCAGAAGAGGATTGGAAGGGAACATAGGATGGCAGCAGAGATGACAAATATAAACTGAGTAGAAGCCTATGATATCCCCTATGGGTATATAATGAAGACCGTTAGTTCCTGGAGGACAATTTTTTTATGAAACCATAGATACTTTTGCCTGGCTGATTTCTCCAGTAGTTATGTAATTTGTACAACAAATATATATTCATAGAGGGCATCCCCTCTCCCTCCTAAAACACATTAGTGAGACAAAGAATACCATGCACAAATGTGTTATTGCTTAGTTTATTCACATTCCAACATCAGAAACACAGAACAATGAACCTTAATCATTTCAAATTATAAAGGAAGTCATGCAGGATTTCTGGTGACTCTTGTGAGCTCCCTGCCCCCTGGGATTTACTCTCTTGGCCTTCCAACCCTCTTTTCATTTCATCTATGTTACCTACTCTCCAGGTATGTTAGGCCCAAAGGCCCAGAAAGGCCCCAGGAGAGCCAGAGAGAGTAGTATCATAGGGAACAGGAAGTCAAATGAGTCAGGATCATTGGCTCCCAAGACTTCAGCTCTTGAGGCAGTGTCATTAATCCATTTTTTTTTTTTTTTGGGTCCGGTCGTGGGGCCTGAACTCTGGGCCTGGGCGCTGTCCCTCAGCTCTTCAGCTCAAGGCTAGCACTCTACCAATTGAGCCACAGCACCACTTCCGGCATTTTTCTTATGTGGTGCTGAAGAATCGCACCCAGGGCCTCGAGCATGCAAGGCAAGTGCTCTACCGCTGAGCCACCTTCCCAGCCTGATTAATCCATTTTTGATAGTAGATCACACTGGTATAGACCCCAGGAAGCCTTTGACCACATTGCACTCCCCAGCTGACCACTCCTATTTGAATCCAAATGCCACCAATATGACAGGACAGCGGCCCTCCAGAGTCACCTTAAGAAAGAGGGAAATGTGATGAGTTGGTGGAAGGCGTATGGAAAGGAGTATTCATAGTGGGGAATGTTCTTCAGCACAGGCCTTGAGACCTCAGGAGCTATGGCACTCTGAGGGATGTGGATGTTGTACTGTAGTCTTGGGAGGAGGCCACAGGAATTCTAGAGCCAAAATATTTGAAATTGGCAAAGGTCTTAGCAAAATATCTTGGTCATTTCAAAACATTCAGTTACATGATAAAGCAGAATCAAATGAGTGTGATCAATTTTCATACATCAAGTCTTTCATTCACAAAATGAAATAATCATTTGAATGAACCGCTCTTGTTTTCTCTTCTTAGGGTCTTACTGCCTTTTTATGTTCAAATAATCATTTGAAATAAAATAAGTGATAGTAGTTGGTAGTATGGCTTTCAATTTCATTCTTTTTTTTATAACAGCTTTATAACATTGATATACCATATTATATGTGTAACTTCATTATTTAAAATTCATATGCCATAAAATTTGCACTTATGATGCACACATGGCTTTGAATATATTTATAGTATTACGCAGTATCGCCATGTTCATTATGAACATTTCCCTTCCATACCTCATTTTTTCCCAATCCTCCCAGCTCTAGACAGACTGGTGATCTACTATCTACCTTTTATGAATTTGCTTATTGTGGACATTTTATATAAACCAAATCATATATTATAATTTTGTATATCATATATTATATAATACTATAATACATCATATAATATTATAATTTCATATTAGCTTTGCATATTTTTTTCAAGATTTATCTGTTATACTCCAATATTCCATTCCTTTTCATGGCTGAATAATATTCCATTATATTGTTATACTACATTCTGTTTGCCCATTCGTTAGCTGATGTATATTTGAAATTTGTCCACCTTTTGGCTATTACAAATCACGTTGCTGTGAACATTTATGTGCAATTTTTTTTCAGCACTGGGGATCAAACTTAGATTAAATGGTTCCTTAGTTGTTCAGAGGAGTTACATCATTAGAATCCTAGCCTAAGTATACCATCCTTTGGTCAATTTGTTGTATATATAAGCATATAACCCTGAATTGAATGTCTTTCTGATGTCAGAACCAAACTGTCTTTATTACTGTTTCTTTGTAGTAAGTTTTGACGTCAAAAAGTATGGCTCTACCAAGTTTGTTGTTCTCATTCACTTGAATTTCCATAGAAATTTTAGGATCACCCAAGTGTGTATGGTCTCTGTGCTCTCAAGAAGAGGTTGTAGCCTGCTATTCTTAGGACTCTGTTTTTAAAGTTTTACATGAGAGTAACTTCTCTCAGATACTGCAGATAACAGTTATAAATTGTGGACAGAATATAAAAGCCAATTCTCTGGAGATAGTGGAGAGTTGCCAGAAGTGGCAGAAGCTAGAGTTAACTCTTTTTTGTTTTTTTTGACAAAATGGTTTTTCCCTAACATAGTTTCAGTTATTATCCTATGGGGTGGCTGCAGCTGAAACTTAAACCCACAGTCCTAAAGGCTTATGAAGCAAGATAAAGCTCCCAGGTATTGTAGTAGTTTGAAAGTGAAGGGAAAAATACCAGAAAGGAAAAAGCCACATGAAGGAAGCCCCAGTGTGTAAACTCTGTTCTAATGGCTGGGTGACCCTGAACTACGTGCAGGATGGGTAGGGTGCCAGGCCACACAGCTCAGACTAAAAGGACGGCTGCTGCCTCTCAGGTTGGAGTGTGGGGTCAGCCAAGCTAATGGTCTATTCTTTACAGGAATCCATCTTCCCAACATCCCATCACTGACAACATCCAGGATAGGATCCAAAATTACTAGATGTTAAAGCAAATAAACAACAACACAAAGACACAGAGAGAGGTTTCCTAAGATCAATTGGCAGTTGTTATTTGGGAGGAAAGGCAATAAGTGGAAAATACTGCTATTATAACTCTGGTTTTAGAATTACCAAGTAAAGATCTCTAAGCAGCTATTCTAAGTGTGATCAATACATGTGGAGGGAAGTATGCAAATAATATACAGATATTCAGAGCTCTTAGGAGAGATCTAGAAAAATGTGTGTATGCACACACACGTGTGTGTGTGTGTCCATGCATGTATGTATGAGAGAGAATAAAACCAAATGGTCATTCTAGAACTAAAAAAAATTACCTGAAATTTAAAAATTGCACAAGGTGCACTTACATAATTGTACGGTGTAAATGGCAGCAAAAAGGGATAGTGGTCTTCAATGCAGATTAAAATGGTTGGAAGAGCAGACTGAAAGTATTAAAAATAAAATGGACTTGTCTATAAATATCAAATGGCATATCTTATGTAATTTACATATAAAGGGGAAAAGAGGGAAAATGAGGCAGAGGAATGTTTGAAGAAACCATGTGTGAAATGTTCCTAAGTTTTGTGAAATTCATAAAAGAATATATTTTGAAAAACAGTCAGGTATGGTGGTATATACCTATGATTCCAACATTGATGTAGAAGGATATCAAGTTCAAACTAGCTTGAGTTAGACATTAAAACTTGATCTCAACTGGAAGGGGAGACATGGTTCAAAAAGAATTTTAGGTCTGGGAAGGTGGCTCAGTGGTAGAGTGCTTGCCTCACATGCATGAGGCCTTGGGTTCAATTCCTCAGCACCACATAAACAGAAAAAGCCAGAAGTGGCCCTGTGGCTCAAATGGTAGAGCACTAGCCTTGAGCTGAAGAGCTGAGGAACAGCACTTAGACCTAGAGTTTCAAGTCCCATGACTTCCCCCCCCCCAAAAAAAAAAAAAGGAATTGTATTCATTATTCATTATCTGATTCATGTCACTGGAACCCCTCTGTATATCAACTCTACAATAGCAATTAAAAAAAATAAGAACTATCTCAAGACACACACACACACACAAAAAAAAGCCAGGTACAAGTGGTTCACACCTATAATCCTAGCTACTCAGGAGGCTGAGATCTGAGGATTGTGGTTTAAAGCCAGCCCTGGCAGGAGAGTTCATGAGACTCTTATCTCCTATTAAGCATGAAAAGTCGAGAAGTAGAGCTGTGGCTCAAGTAGTACAGTGCTAGCTTTGTACACAAAAGTTCAGGGTCAGCGCCCAGGCCCTGAGTTCAAACCCTAGGACCAGCACACAAAACGTTTTAAAAAGTTGGCAATTATGGTTTAATTTTAATATATTTATGAAGACCTAACAGGTTTGGAAAAGTTTAATGATTTATTATTACTGGTCTAGATCAATAATCTTAACCTTGAAGATATTAAATTGATATATTAACTGATAGGTTATTGATTTGTCCAGGGTAACACAAGAATCATGGTTAGCTCCCAATTTATTGTTATTTAGGGATAGGGAAACTAGGATCCAAATTAAGATCTCTTAAAGACAAAGTTCCAAAAACAAAGTCTCAAGCTCAAACTCTAACCTTACAACTATCCTTCTTGTTTATAATATCACCAGCACAAATCATGTCTTCCTTGATGACTGACTCCAATGCCAGCAGAAAGACGCCGACTGGATTATAGAGTTGTTCACACTCCTGGTGGGTAAAGACAGGTACTTCAGCTTCCTGCAGGGTATGAGGGTAATTATCACCTGTAGATGAAGACAGGAAAGAGATGTAAAACAGCCTGGAAAGCTAGGCACCACTCAGTCAGAATGTGTAGAAGTCTCTCAACAGAAACCATAAGGCAGATTTCAGGTACTTCCCAATCATGTTAACTTATGGAGGGATTTTTGGTACAATGAAATAGAAAGTTGTGGAGAATTTTCAATTATTTGTTGGAGGATTTTTCTGTTGTGTTATTATTCTGAACAAAGATTGTTATTCTAAATAAAGATATGCATCTGGTTGAGTAAAGATGTGAGTATTCTAAGGTATTTCAAAACTTTTCCATTTTCTTGCTTGCAAGTCAATTCCTGTTTTATCTCTACTTCATCCAATGGAAATAGTTGACACAAGACATTGGAAATGAATCAAATTGATTTAGACTCTCTCCAAACTTTATGTCAAGCTCTAAACCAGAGAGAAGAAATTAAGTATTTAAATTGTTAGTATCTGCTCTAACCGCCGTAGTTAGACTCCAGACAGGATATAAGACTACATAACCATGTAAATGCCAGAAGAACTTTTTTTTTATTTGTAAATAATATCATTATGTGGATCTGATTTTGTTGAAGAACATTTGCTATAGTAAGGACATAGCTAGAATGTGAATGTTCTGGAATAGGAACACCAGGATGATGTAGGAAACAACCTCTGTCTCTGCCCATTCTCACCTGCATTCTCCTTAACTAGTCCCCATCCAGTCACCCAACAAGAAGCTGGGATCTTCAGCCGCTTTGAGGTACTGGGCAGGCAGATGGGTAGGATGTCCGCAGAGAAGGTGACTTGGGAGGACAGTCTGAGCAAGGCAATGTCTGCGTTTGAACCATCGTATTTGGGGTGGAGGACGATTCGGGACACATAGTATACCTTGCCTTTATTTGAGGCGTCTGCTTTAAGGGATCCCAGCCAAACACTGTATGAATAAGCTGAGGTCCTATGGAAAAAAGAGAGAATAAAAGTGCAGCAGGCTGATAGTCTACACTGGGTAGGAAAAGCTGTCTCTATATCACAATGAACACAGCAAGAAAGGATAGCATACTGGGATTTAATCGGGGTCCAGTTGATCTTGGGCTAGGGTTAGTTTGATTCCTTCTTTCTATTGCTTGACTGCTCTTCTGTTGGTCTCCAATTACATGCTCATAGCTAGAATTATGTTTTATGTTTTCTCCCCAATTCTCTCCCTGGTAAACCACCACCTGTATGCTTAATAGTCATTCTTCCTCATTGTCAGTTTTGATTTCTGTCCTAAATAAAACTTTAAAGCAAATTGTAATGGGGGCTGGGAAGGTGGCTCAGTGGTAGAGTGCTTGCCTTGCATGCATGAGGCCCTGGGTTCGATTCTTCAGCACCAGATAAACAGAAAAAGCCGGAAGTGGCGCTGTGGCTCAAGCAGTAGAGCGCTCACCTTGGGCTGAAGAGCTGAGGGACAGCACCTAGGCCCAGAGTTCAGGTCCACAATCGGCAAAAAAAAAAAAAAAAAAGCAAATTGTAATGGGTTACAGTTTAAATAACTTAAAATGCCAGGTAATTTGATAAGCTGTATAAAATAAATGAATAAGTTCTGCTGGGTGTGGTAGTACACACCTGTTAGGCAAGACTCTCCCCCCCCCAAAAAAAAGTGGGTGCCTAGCATGAGTGAGACCTGAATTTATTTCCCAGTATTGCAAAAACAAAAATTCACCTTATTCTGAGGCAGTCTCTTTCAGCTGTTTAGCCCTTACTCATTTCCCTGGTATTTTCAAGAAACACTATATATTTATGTTTCTTAACACCCCCCCTCTCTTTTTAGAATATTCTTAAATGGAAGGAGAAGACTAAGTTATGTATCACAGCTTACCCCCAACCCCCTCTTTCATTTATTTTCATTTATTTTTATTTTTTTAATAACCTTTATTTAACATGTGAGTTACAGAAAACATATTCGCAAAGTGCAAAGTATTACTGCCACAAGCAGTTCAGGTGGACATGACTGTCTAGATCCTCCATGTACATACACCCATCCCTTTTTAGGTAACAGATCTATGGTTTGTGTCATGCTTTTCCAAATGTTACAAATTCACCAATTCAAAATCCCAAAGCTACATGAATATTTTGATAACCAAGAATAAACTACACAAACTCAATCTGTTTGGTTAAAAAAAAATGCATTCCTGCTTTTCTTAGGGATAAAAATTTCACTGAAGACAAAAACAGCAACAGGCTTCTAGACAGAAGTATTGGCAGAGTTACAATTAAAATACTGAATTTCTTTTATGCTCAATTTAAAGAGACATAAAGCAAGATATACTAAGCAATTTCAAAACTCATTAGTAGGCTTATAGCATACTATTAGCAAGAATGTTTCTACTAAATATATGTATCCCTAGGGGACAACCAGAACCATATACATCAATGGTTCTAATCAAAGTAAAATTCTGAGCACACCTGCACACATCTCTCTCCCTGCAGGCTTCCTATTCCTACCCTCTCCTGCCAGCCTCTAAGTCAGTCCTGACTTCATTGCCCAGAGGTGGCACAATCCATCCAAGATGGATCTGCTGATTGTAACAGGTATTTAGAAGTTATTTAATTCCCTACTTCTACTTTTTACCATATATTATCTCAGGACATCTATAAAGATTAGATGTTCTGAAATAATGAGAGCTTTGTGTACAATGTAAGTATTTTACCAAAAATGCACATCTTCTAGATGTGGCAATGCTAACGGAGGCCTCCCCCACCTTTCTCTTCTCCCTCACATCTCTCCAGACACGCTGAGATAATTCACTCCTAGGAGACAGTTTTTCCTAAAAACTAACAGAAGGACATTTCTATAGGGATTATTTTCTACTTTTTACTTTTAGCATTAAGACTTAACCCTTAATACTTGATAATATTAACTAAAATACACATACAAAACCAAGTCTAGACCAACAAAACAGGCCCGAGATAGCCTTCTCTTTTTTTATCCATCTTCTTCCCCAGTGTTGTCATAAGTTTCTGTTAGCACAGGATTTATGTGCATGTCCCCGTGGCTGAGCAAACATCATATCTGGTCTCGTGATTACATTTCTTGTAAAGCCTTTTGCTTCTCCTAGAGTTAATAATGGCATCTCACTTTGCTCTCTTAATTTTCTATGTACCCATGAGTGATTCATCATTGTTTCCACAAACTCTGTCCAAACTGTAAATCTCACATCCAAGCCTGCCATGCATTCTATGAAGACTGCCTTTATTAGTGTCCTCTGCCCTCTGGTTCTGTCAAGGCTGCCATCATTCGGGCACTTCCCTTAAATTTTATGATCTTCTTGGGAATTCTGTCTGGATCTCATCTTTCTCTTTTTATTTTCCCTTCATGTTGGTGAAACACATGAGCCTATGACTTCCCCAGAAAGTGTGCTTGAGAGGTAACATTTTGGCTGCTTTGCATGTTTGGAAATGTATCCTTTGTACCCCATATTAATTGGTATTTTATATATGGGGAGAATTTTAGGCTGATTTGCCCTCAGCATTTTGACGTTGTTACTTCATTCTCTTTGAGCATTCACTGTGGTTGTTGAAAAGCCCTGCTGTTTTGACTTCTGTCCATGTTAGTTATCAATTATTATGTAACACATTATGGCAAGGCCTAGTGGCTCAGAAAAACTGACATGTATGTCACTGGGTTCCTAACTCCAGGTGGGCTCAGGTATCACAAGTTTGCTTGGGGGAGAACTGGATTCCAGACTCTGGTTTATTGCTTTAGGCCTTCAGCAGAGTCATTTCCTGGAAGACAAGTTCTAGTGTGATGGGGTCTCTCCCCGTGGCTGCTTGTTCTAAAGGCAACTTCTTGAATATAATGGCTCTGTGAGAGGGCCATGGTTATGACACCCCCCTCCAAAGAAAACAAAAAGCTAAGACAACCCCTCTGCTCATATTTAGGAAGTGATTTGATTAAAAGTTAGAAAATTTCTACTACAATGACTGTCCTCTACCAAGGTGAGGACAGTCCACTCATTTACATGGTTCGTTTGTGAAACCATTCCAACATTTACAGAAAAGCTGGCTGTCCACATGATGGCAGCTAGAACTCACTTTGGTAGGCAGTGTGCGGCGGTCAGTATCCAGTTCTTACTGATGAGGGACCCTCCGCAGATGGGGGCCCTGTCCAAATGAAGGCTGACTTGCCAAGACCAGCGTCTGATAGCAGCATCCTGGCCACCGATGATGCGGCTTGAAAATACAGGTTGTCCACACACTAGAGAAAGAAGTGAAAGAGAACTGCGGAGATCTGGTCCCCTTCCTTTCATCCCCAGACCTTACCCCTTCCAAGGATCTAAGCCCTCCCTGGAGTCCATGCTCTGCCCCATCTGAGTTCAAACCCAGCCTGTGGAGACCACTCACCTGATTGTAAGTCTTTCTTTTTGGAAACAGAACAGAGGGAAAACCCTAAGGAAGACATGTTATTAGTGCTTAAGACATCTTGTATCTATATTCACTGAATTCAGGTATTTCCAGTTGTAAACAAAGCAATGCTCTGAAATGCTTTTTTTTTTCTGGCCAGTCCTGGGCTTGAACTCAGGGCCTGGACACTGTCTCTGAGCTTCTTTTGGTCAAGGCTAGCACGCTACCACTTAAGCCACAACACCACTTCCAGTTTTTTTCTCTTTATGTGGTACTGAGGACTCGAACCTAGGGCTTCATGCCTGCTTGGCAAGCACTCTACCACTAAACCACCTTCCCAGCCTTGCTTTTGAGATTTATAAGCTGGTTTGTACTGTTTAACTAAATTGGCATTTTGCAGCATTTATGTATCATTCTCTGCTGCGGTTCAAATTCTTTTAAGTCTGTAAGGGCCAGAAAAAAATAACAACATGCTTATGCTAGAAGCTGCTCCTATTCCATCCTCTTGAAATGTCATTTTCCTGGATCCTCTTAGCTGACTTAGTTATTCCCATCAGACTGGGTTTTCTAGTTCTGTTGGTGGTAGTGTTTTGGGTTTTGGTAATGTGGGCTATGGAACCCAGGGCCTAGCCCCTGCAAGCGAGCGCTCTACCACGCAGCTGCCTCCCCAGCAGCCTCTCCAAGACCTGGCTCAAACGGCTCCTTCGTGAGGCTGTCTCTGACCACCTTATTTTAAACTGCGACTCACCTCTTCCCCCTGGACTTCAGCTGTTCCTGTCCTCCTACAGCTTTTTCTAGTGACTTCTCACATGCCTTCTACTTTACTGACTCCCGGTCCCATGAAGACAGGGATCTTAGTGTGTGGACTGCCCGTGTCCAGCACAGAGCAGCCCAGCGGCGCCTGGGCTGTATATGATGCCTTCTTCCGTGAGGACCTCCTGCGGCCTTCCTTCCTTCTTCCTCCTCCGCCGCACGTGGGGTCCGGCCTCCGGCCTCCTCTCGGACACGGCGGCTGAGACCTTCCGCTAACGTTCTCGGTGGCTGGCCATCGAGAGCCTCCTCCTGCTTGGGGTTGAGAGGAACGGAATTAGGCCTGTCTGCCCGCCCTGGGCCCGGGGCTCACCCGGCAGGAGCAGCAGCAGGCCCGCACGGCCCTCCCCGCACAGCCCCCCCTGCCCATGGCGCCTGCCTCCCAGCGGCCTTTCCGGTTGGACTCGGGCCGAGGAGAGGGCAGGGCCACCTTCTGCTTGGATTCCCGCGCTTCGCGGACCCCCGTCCCCCCCTCCCCCAAATGGGAGCTGCGGGGGTCCCCGGGGGCGGCGCCTGGGCCTGAGGCGCCCCCTGCCGCCCTGGGGGAGCAGGGCGCCGGCACCCAGCACCGGAAGGGATGGGTGGATAGCGGGTTGGGGCCCTGGAAGAAAGAGGAACCTGGAAGTGGAGGTGTCCCTCGGGTGTTCTTGTCCCGGAGGAGAACACGGGATGCAGAGATACGACCGGTTAGGAAATGTGACAGGAGGGATACCAGGTTTGCTCATAGAGATACTGCACAGATACCAGCATCTTTCATTTACTTTTATCTTTTATTTGCTGGCTTTTGTTTTGTGCATAGCCCAGGCTGACCACAAACTAGCATTCTTCCCGCCTGGGCCTCTCCAGTCTGGGGTGAAAGGTCGATGGAGGGCTTGGGCCATCTCCCTTCAGAATCTGATCAAGCTTAGCATTCCTAAAAGTAGGACAAGGCAGACATGGCCCTCTTGATGTGGCCCAATGGGAAGCACTCAGTACCTCCCATGCAGTGTTCTCACACACACACAAAAGTGAAACCCGAACCTCTAAAGCTACTTTCACTTACCAAAAGTACAAGGGATAAAAAGAATAAGTTAATTGACAACACAAGGAAGTAAATAGTCAAATCCAGTATGTGGGATATTGTATAAAGCGGCTGACCTAGTTTCTGTCATAAGACAACCCTATGAAGGTAAAAAGGGAGAGGACTGCTTAGGTTATCAGACACTTAAGATCCTTAAGACTCTATGGCCCTTGTTTGAATCCAGATTTAATAGGCCAACTCTAAAAATACCTTTGGAGGTAAATAAGGCAATTTAATAATGAATTGGCTGTTAGATGGAGTGATGCTGATCCTGGCAGGTGTAACGGTGGCATTGGATTATGTAAGGAAACACCTATTTTTACAGAGAATCTGGGAACCACAGTCCTTTGTCGTTGTGTGGGAAGTTCCTCTGGTTTTCAGTCTGCAGTATGCTTGAGCCGTTTTCATGTTTTGACATTGTGACCTTAAGCAAGTAAACTTTCTCCCAGGCCTCCATTCCTCAGTTGTGTCATGTAGGCATTTGAATCAATTGATGGTTTTAAAAAATTTTATAAATGTATCATTGCTTATCACAGTGCTATTTATTCTTCATTTATTGTCTTCATTATCCTTCTACGAATACTCTGTTAATTTTCACGATGTCGTTGTACTACTCCTTGCTTTTCTAAGATAGGTAGTACCAAGGAATAGGAAGCCAAAGAGTGGATGCCAAATGCCCATGCTACACTTTGCTGGAAGACAGCTCTGTGAGCTTTCTGACTCACATCAGTCTCAAGGATAAGATCTATCCCTAGATGTTCACACTGAGCTTTCCTTTGAATGTCTCTGGGTTTTTGTTTGTTTGTTTGTTTTTGTTTGTTTTTATTGGTTGTGGGGCTTAAACTCTGGGCCTGGGCAGTGTCCCTGAGCTCTTCACCTCAAGTCTAGCACTCTACTATTTGAGCCATAGTGCCACTTCTGGTTTTCTGGTGGTTTATTGGAGATAAAGAGTCTCATGGACTCTCCTGCCTGGTCTGGCTTTGAACTGAGATCCTCAGATCTCAGTTGCTGAGTAGCTAGGATTACAGGCATGAGCCACTAGAGCCCGGCTTCCTTTGAATGTCTCTGCTGTACACAGTTAATTGCTGATTTGGGAAGGGTCATGTGAGGGTGATGTTAACCATGTAATTACTCAGCACAAGGATAAAGTTTCTACCTCTCCAAGATTGCAAGATGGAACCAATAATATTCCACAAGATTTTCATAAGAACTATGTGAACAATCATAGAGATAGTAGTTAGCTTGGTGTGTTAATTTTCCATCAGGATGAGAAAAAAAAAAGGAGAAAAGATTTATTTTTACTCCTGGTTTCAGTACATAGTCTGACTGGCTCCATTGCTGTAGGCTTATGGTGAGGTATGATACCATGTTGGCAGAAAAGTGTGGTGGGAGTCAAAGCTGCTCATGTCATAATAGAAAGAGAGAGAAGAGGATGAAGATCAGGTCACCATTCAAAAGCATATCCTCAGGTACCTACTATATTCAACTAATCTAGTTTCTGTCATCTCCCAGTAATGCCACCAAATTATGAGGCCATGAATGTATTAATTCATGACTGGGTGAGAGCCTTCACGATCCACTCACCACACCATCACTCTGAATAGTGCAGTAGGGACCAAACACACACACACGAGTTGGAAGTGAGAAGGATTCTATATCCTAGCACAACCCCCTGTCCCAAAGGCTCACATTGATCTCACAAATACAAAATGCAGTTTAGGTCCATCTCCCAGAAGTCCCACAGTCTTAGTAGTTTCAGCATAGTTTAAAAGTCCAAATCTAGCCAATAATGACTTACACTGGAAGATTAGCTACTCTGGAGGCTGAGATTGGGAGAATCATAGTTTGAGGCCAGCCCAGTAAAAAGCTCAAACCTGTCATCACAGTTAGGAAGAAAGTAGAAATAGGGGGATTGCAGTTCAGGCTTGCCCTGGCATAAGTACAAGACCCTACTTGAAAAATAACAAAAGCAAACTGGGCTGAAAACTTTGTAGAGTGCCTGCCTAACAAGTACAAGGTCCTGAGTTCAAACCCCAATACTGGGGAAAAAATAGTTGCTGTTTTCATTATTGTGGTTACTGAACAGATATCACAGAATTAAGCATTGACTTAAATCAGGGTAGACACATTCTCTTTGCTATGGTTTAGATGGAAGCCCCTGCAGACCAGAGCTTCTCAACCTTGATGCTGTTGACATTTTGGTCCAGATGATGCTTTGTTGTGGAGTGGCTGCCTGTTCAAAGTAGGGTATAATATCAGCCCAGGCTTCTGTGTTCTAAGTAGATGGCACCATTCACTCCTAGTTGTGACATGTCAGTAGGTAAATATTGCCCAGTGTCCCCTGGCAGAATCACCAGTGAGAATGCTGCTGTAGAGCAAGGATACCACTTTCAGGATAAAATAGGGACAGCAGCCGATTTGCATCTTTCATAGCTTTTACCTGTGTTCCATACAGGGCAAATGGACTCTTGTCTGTTTTCTAATTCAGTCCATCAGATTACTCTATTACATCATGAATAAGTCCCTCTAAAACCATCTCCTGAAAAATAACTGGCTAGATCTGGTCTTCATTCTTGAACCTGGACATTTTGAGTCATGCATTAGTTTCACTCCAGTAAGTCATAGAACTGGTCTGTATACTCACCATCTATTATGTCAGTATACTCACCATCTATTATGTCAGGCCCAGCCGTGCCTGGGCAGCCTCCTCCTCTCTCTCTCTGACTCTTTGCCGTCTTAACCAGTCTGAAGGTTTTCCTGAATTGGTCCTGCTCTACACCCTTTAGGCCTTGGGCCCTATTTCCCTAACCGCAGCCTTCCACACCTCCAGTGGGGATTAGTCTTGTTCTTTGGTTACTAAAGATAGTTTCTTTTGTGTGTGTTTTTAAAAAATTCACTTCTATTTTTCTACTTTTTAAAAAATTTCACTTCATAGTAATGGAATTTTTCCTCCTAATATTGACAGCTGTAGTCTGTAGCTCTCATTTTGTGACTTCAGCAAAACAAAATCGGATACTTTCTGTTTACAAGCTACTGTCCTAGATGCTGTTAGAGGGTCAGGAAGATGAGTAGAACAGTGGTTTCTCTTCTCCAGGCTATTCTTATCTATTCAAAGAGAGAAGGAAGCTGTATGCACCCAAACAACTACAAAAGGAGGCCAGGAATCCAATCAAAGGTACAAATAACTAGGACCAAAGGGCAGATTTTTTTTTTTTTTTTTTTGCTGTAGTGTAAGGAAGAACTTCTAACAGAGCTTTCTAAAAATAAATGGAAGTAATTTATTGTAATAGAAAGACACATTTTTTAAGTCAGTCAGTCCTACATAAATCTGTTAAATATTAAATATTAACTGTGTCATCTTAGACAAAGTAACTTCCCTGTCCTACGGCTGTTTACTTCCTTAGGTTGTTAAAACTAAGTAAGATAAATCTTGAAAGCGACCAGCAGAGTACCTAATACAAAGGAGTTATAACGTAAATCTAAGTTCCTGCCATAGCTAAGAGATGTGATTAAAATTTCACCCAGGGAAACCACGTGGGCAGGCCTTTCACACACAGCACAGTTCGGTTCAGCTCATCCTTCTCTTGGCTCTGAGCCTTACCTTTTTAGCTATGGGAATTCAGGGCTTGTCAGAGCACCTCAGGGAGATCAAATTCAAAATCGAACTGACTTATCCTATTTTAAGAAACTTGTATAGAAACCAGTATATTTATTTGAAATGAGGACCATTCACTGCTGTTATTTTGATCATTTCTGTCATTTTTCCCAACCAGATCACCCTCTTCTTGCTTATGAATAGGAAATCCACATTATTAATTAGGTGGTGATTGAGGAGGTTTCAGAGTAGAGCAGATGGAGGTAGCTAATTTCCATGAGCATTTCACTTCAGGATGAGACACTGTAAGACCTTTCTTATAAAAGCTAGGTAAAAACCCACCCTGATAATTCATTCCTATAGTTCCAGCTTCTTGGGAGGCTGAGGTGGGAGGATCACAGTTCCAGGCTAGCTCAGGTAAACTAGATTATATCCCCAAAAAGAAAATACAGACAAAAGGGCTGGGGATGTGACTCAAGTGGTGTTGCACCCACCTATTGTGTGTGAAGCTTGGGGTTCAATTCCTACCTTAAAATGGAAAAGAAGATAAAAGAGCAGTTCTTTATAGCAGATTTGTCTTTTAAGTAAATGCCAAGTTTATTTCCACCTTCTCCTTCCCTCAGTAGTATAGGGTCTGATGAACATGTGGTTTTCTGACTTTTCCCTTCCAAGATGCCATGCCAACTACATGCCTTCCTAATGCAGTTTTTTCAGCAGTCAGTAATACTGCTGAGATGTTGGCTTTCTAAGATTTAATCTCATGGTCCCTTGAGAATATTTCAAGTCCCCAAGTGTAGTTTATGCCTATAATAAGTAGGTCATGTATTTTTTTCAGAAATCTCAAATCCCCATTTCCTGTAAAATGTGTACACTTAAGTTTGCATTTTAGAGGATTCTGGTGGGTGGTGATGTGAAGTGCTGGGCGGTGAACCCGCTTCCCATCCGCCTTGCCCCACAGAGAACAGTCAACTTTCTAGTTCTGCTGTACTAGGAGGTATCAGGATCATCTATTGGGTCTATTCAAAAGCCAACTTCGGCCTTGAGCTGAGAGTCAGATCAGATCATTTGTAAACTGCCTTCCCACTATGTTATTTTGTAATCCTATAATCTTCTTTTATCTCCTTGTGGTATCGTGGGCCTCTGCTATGTAGCTCTCTCAACTTTCTTTTGATTCTTTTCCCACTTATTTAGCATCCCAGATTTAATGAGTTTACCTTGTCTTACACCAAAACCATTTCCAGAGTAAGTAAGTATGCTTTGCTTGCAATTCTGATGTATTTGTCATCTAAAAAAAAAAAAAAGATGGTTGGATGAGTGGCTCAAGTAAGAGCTCACCTGCCTAATAAGCACAAAACTCTGACTTCAAACCCCAGTACCACTGAAAAACGTTAAAAAAATAAAGATTTGAGCTGGGCGCCAGTGGCTCACGGGCACCTGTAATCCTAGCTACTCAGGAGGCTGAGATCTGAGAATCACGGTTCAAAGCCAGCCTGGGCAGGAAAGTTCGTGAGACTCTTGTCTCCAATAAACCACTAGAAAACCGGAAGTGGTGCTATGGCTCAAGCCGTAGAGCACTTGCCTTGAGCTAAAGAGCGCAGGGACAGCGTCCACGCCCAGAGTTCAAGCCCCACGACCAACAACAACAACAAAAAAAAAGATTTTTATATAAACTTTTTGCCTACTGCTAGTAACTCTTATCTGTATCCTAGCTACTCGGGAGGTAGAGACCAGGAGGATTATGATTTGAGAATAGCCCACACAAAGAGTTCATGAGACCTTCCATCTCAGCTAGTAGCTGGGCACAGTGAGATTCAAAGTAATTTTAAAAAAGAAAAGAAAAAGAACTAGAAAGTGACTTTCAGCAATAACTATGTGTTTTGTGTGTGACTGAAACAGGCCACACTAGAAACAAGGGGTTTCTGGAGGTTAGAGGGTAGATGAGACATTCACTTGTAGAAATGTTAAGCTGCTTGGGAGTCTGAGATCTGAGGATCGTGATTTGAAGCCAGCCCAAGCAGCAAAGTCCCTGAGACTCTTCAGTTAATCACCAAAAAAGCAGGAAGTGGAGCTGTGGTTCTAGTGGTAGAGTGCAAGCTCAGAGCAAAAAAAGCTGTTCAAGCCCCAGGACCAGTACCAAAAAGAACCCCAAAGCCACAAAACATGCACAAGAATGTCCCCCTGGCCACGTGCAACGAGCAGCTGAAAGTGTGAACTTGGAATTTAAGAGATTGGCCAACACTAGGGCTAGATAGTGTTTCATTTGCATGTCAACATTGAAAGCTATGAAATGAGGCAAAGTCTCCCCCAAGAGAGCATAAATAATGCTTATTGTCCTAAGAATTAATCCCAGCAGTGTGTAGATGAGTGAAATAGGAGCTTAAAAGTAAAGATTGTGTTTGGAGGAGGAAGGTGTAGTCAGTTGCCAGATGCTTTAGAGGAGGAGTTTAGCAGTGTGGAATGGCTCTGGAGAGAGAGAGTAATTTGAGACAGCGCAAAGGAGTTTTGCTATAAAGGGAAACAGAGAAACAGCTGGTAATAAATAAATAAATAAATAAATAGATGTCGGGGTGGCCAGACTTTTGTCTGTTGTTATTTCAAAATGGGAGAAATGACATCATGCTTTTATGCTCGTGGAATTGTCCAGCAAAGAAGGGAAAGTTGAAGAATCAAGAAAGAAAGTGGGAAGATTGCTGGAAGGGTGTCTCAGAGCAGAGGCTGGACCTCATTCACCAGTTGCTTGCTGGAACAAACAGATCTTTCTCACCACAGGAGC